ACGAAGGCGCCCATATCTCGAAAACTAGAATCGCGTAAAACGACCCGTTTCGTAATGAAGGGTCACACATCATTATAAGATGGAGAGTTGCCTGGGAATTTTTCCCGAAAATAAGAAACGGTTTTTCTTAACGAACAAATCGTCCGAATATCTTTAATGAATCGTTTTATCTAGTTCTGTGAATATGTTTCCCATACCAGTATCGAGATAACTTGTTGTAGAACCGGTTCTAATGGCCGTTAAATTCAGTTGAATTATACAAGTTACGGTTTATGCGTTTAGGTGGACCATAGCCAAACCATTTATCCGCACCATAAATTGTAATCTTTGCTATTTGTCCACCCACAAATAACGATACTGTACTTGATGAAGGAGGCGATACTTGAAGTACCAGTAGATCTCTCCCCTACTTCACTACTCCATTACTCCACGGATAATGCAGGACTCCGATCGTCTTTTCATCAACTGCACAATGTACAGACATCGCAGCTTTAATAGCACTGTTAATAACACATCTCTATGTTCTTATTACAGTGCACATATGCGAGACTGAACCAGTGCCTGTCACTGAGTGGGTAATTTGACGTGATAATTTATATGGTGATATCGTGAAATTCATGGCTTTATAACTTGGTGGATTCTATTGAGGTGAACTTAATGTACACAGTATCGCTCTTTCCTGCGGTAAATTATATTGCTATATATTTTATGCATCGGTCATGATATACCTTATGGAATTTAAGGACATAATTGACATTTATCCTTCATTTTTTGAAAGCACATCACACATTCTGATAGATTTTTTTTGCCTTGTGAAGTTTTTCTTAGGTTGATGGATATGGAGAAAAACTGTATTAATTTTATGGAATAGATTGAGGGTAGATTCAAATGCAACAATATATTTATTCTTATTGTCAATAATTGCAGTTCAAATTGAAATTCATGCCTCTGTGAACCTAAAATTATAAAGTAGTTTTTCACAAAGTGAAGCCTTGCATTATAACATCAATTCTTTAAAAATTATTGAGGCCCTTTTTCTGGCCTCCATACGGATGCTAATCATCCCTATCCTCGCCCGATGCATGCGGCTGTGTATTCTACACTGTACCGCATTGGCACCCCTATAGAACATACGAGTTGACATGGGAAACAACAGAAAAACCCTGCCGGTACAGGTGATTGTTCAAAAATTCGATTCAACGGGGAAACGAACCTATAACTTTCAGAACACCAGGCTCGCACCTAGCCACTGAGCTATCGACGTCACCTATGACATCAATTAATAATAATCTAAAACTTAAGCTGCAGTTTTCTTAAAAAACTATTCGTTCCGTAGGCAGCAGGGCTAAATTTATTGGTGTCTGGTTCAATATTATGGTAATTGTTTAAAAATGTGGTGGTGGTGGTTTTTTTCCTGTCAGTACTAACCGATTAGGATATCCACGTGAAATATTGTCTAAAATCAATGTATGCCTATCCCGGAGTTCTATTTCATTCCTTAATGGAGAGCTTTTGAATTCGGCGGACGTCTTTCATCGTCTGATAACTCTGAGCTCGGAGGCTTCACATACATATGACGATTTCTAGTATATGGTTTAATAACATATATTACGTTCTGATGAACGATTTTTGAGCTCAAATCGTCCTGATACTAATTGATGAACGAACCGAGATGGAATTTTGATTGGAGTTCTTGCCTGTCTGTTCTAATCCACTCATTTACTCCCCAACTTTTGTGTGTTCTTGCGGATAACTTTTGAATCCAGTGAATGGATATCATCTTCTGATGACTCTAAGCTCGTAGATTCGATATCCATATGATGATTTTTAGTATACGGTCTAATAAGCATCTATATTACTTTCTGATGAAGGCTTTTCGAGCTTAAATCCTGATATTACTTGACGAAAGAACCAAGATGGGACTTTGATTGCAGTCCTTGCTGACTTTTGAATTCAGCGAACGTATGTCATCTTCTGATGACTCCGAGCTCGCAGATTCGACCGACAAATCATGATTTTCTGTATATGGTTTAATAGCATCCATGTTTCTATCTGATGAAGGCTTTTTGATCTGCAATCCTCCTGGTACTAACAGCAGAGTCAACTGAGGTGGAATTTTGATTGGAGGTCGTGCTTGCTCGTCCTGATCCATTGAGTTACTCCCCAGCTTTGGGCGCTCTTGTAAATAGACTTTTGAGTTCAGCGTACGTATGCCATCTTCTGAGGACTCCGAGCTTGCAGATTCGGCTGGCAAATCGTGATTTTCAGTATATGGTTTAGTAGCATCTATGTTGCTTTCTGATGACGGCTTTTTGATCTGAAATCCTCCTGGTACTAACTGCAAAGTCAA